CACTGCTTCACTATTGGGTTCTTACAGAACCCCTGCACCGCAAGCCCGTACTTAGACGCAGACCCGGTCGGAATGCTAAGACCTTTTCCAAGATCATTCCCTTAAGGAATAGACCTTATAAATCATAATAAGGGTCCTAGAAAAAATTAGGGAATATTCCGCAAACTAAAGTAAAATCCCTACTATAATTTAAGGTGTAGTCCTAGCAGGATCCTTAAAATGATTTAAGGTCTATTATAGTAGGATCCCTGATGTGATTCGAAGTCTGGTTTTGCTCAGTTAAGGGAACCCTAAACCCTAAATCCTAAACCCTAAACTCCAAATCCTAAATCCTAAACCCTAAACCCTAAATCCTAAACCCCAAATTCAAAACCCTAAATCCTAAACCCTACATCCTAAACCCTAAATTCTAAACTCCAAATCGTAAATCCTAAACCCTAAACCCTAAATCCTAAACCCTAAACTCCAAACCCTAAATTCTAAACCCTAAATCCTAAACCCTAAACTCCTAAACCCTAAACCCCAAAAACCCTAAAAACCCTAAAAACCCTAAAAACCCTCAAAACAGTAAAAACCCTAAAAACCCTAAAAACCCTAAACCCTAAACCCTCGGGAGGTCGGCTCCGCACCTCCTCCCTTCGTACCGAAGATGAAGTAGTCGCCAAAGGAGACAACCACCAGGACAAAGCCTGAACATATTTTGGTGTAGTTCTCTAAATTAGGGTCCCTTTTAGGTCCCCAATATAGTACGGCACCCTTATACAAAAGGACCCTAAAAGGGACCCTGATATTGAAAACTACACATTTGGGGTTTGGGGTTTAGGGTTTAGGGTTTTTAGGGTTTAGGGCTTAGGGGCTCGGGTTCCTTTATAATGGCCCCTTTAAGGGATCCTGTATAAAAGGGATCTATAAAGGCTTTCTCTAAAAGCTTTCTGGCTTGGGATTCAGGGCTCAAAGGGTTTGGGGGTTGAGGGTTTAAGGCTTAGAGGGTTTAGGCTTTAGGATTTAAGGTTTAGAGGTTGAAGGCTTCCTAAACCCTAAACCCTAAACCCTAAACCCTAAACCCTAAACCGCTGGCGTGTAGATAATGGGGATCCGTCTTGGGTGGGAGGGAGATATGGGAGCTGCGGGGGTTTAGGGTTTGGGGTTTAGGGTTTAGGGTTTAGGGTTTAGGGGAGGGTGTCGGATGAAGGCTAGCGGCTACCTTAATCCTAAATCAACCTAGCTCTCTTAAGGACTTACAGTAGACATGTTTAATATAAGGCAATCAGAATAAGGAGCCCGAAAAGTGTAGGCTAAGGTAGGTTACATGGGGTTAGGGGATCTCCTATCAACAAGAGTGGGCTGCTTCATTGTCGCTTTGCTCCCTGTCTGCCATCTGCAGAGGCACTTGGTCGAGCTGCGATTCCCGTTGCAGTGCAGTGCAACTCCAATGGCACTGACAACATCGCTGGCGGAAAGCTCGCCCGCACTGCACACGTCGCCAACGACCCTCTTGACCACCACATCAGTCCGAACAAGAATTTAGGAGAGATGCCACCTGCACTCAGTCAAGAAAAGTAAAGTATCATGATAAGAACGTCCTATACACCTGTAACAAACTTTACTCTACCACCTTAGCCTACCTAACTTAAGCCCGCAAGCCCTGCCTACCACCCAAACCCAAAACCACACGCTGGGACTCGTTGAGCCACCTGTGGGATTTGTTGCTGTCCCTCCGTGTCGTCCTGGTCGGACTCCTTCGGCCACTCGCGGGGCTCCTCCCACCGTAGTCCAGACCAGTCTGGTCGCCAGCGAGTCTGGCACTGTTCACTGGTATGACCTCCCCTCTGCCATTCCTGGTCCTCCCACGGCCAGGCCGCCAAGATGCAAATGGCCTGCAAGGATTAGGGTTCAGGGGTTCAGGGTTTTTGGGGTTTGGGGTTTGGGGGTTTAGGGTTTAGAGATTTGGGCTTAGGGATTAGGACCCTCAACCCTAAACCCTAAACCCCTTATGTTTCAGGGGCTTAGGCTCTAAGCTGGATCTACAAACCGCCCTACACCCGAAACATCGAAACTGGAGTCACCATACCTTGCAACAGGCCTTGCACTGTAGAAGCCGAGCTACACCAGTATTCCCAATTCGGTTAAATAGTTGGGGCACATCCCTAAGATCATAGCAATCATAGCACACATCCGGAATTCAAGGAATACTTATAGAGTCCGTATAGTACCACAACCCAGTAACCTACCACATAGACATACCGTGCACCTTAAGACCTTAGACACCTGGGCTCCTAGCCTGAACCCTAAACCTTGCAATTTGGGCAATCTGGGAGTTCCCGAAAGTTAGGGTACCATATTTTTGGATTTTTATAATAAAGATCCTACTATTTAGGGTATATATTAGGGTCCCCTGTATTGGGAAACCCCCACCTAGAAGCCCGAACAGTTACCAAAATTACTCCATGGAGTTCTTATTGTAATGACCATACAGTACACCAAACCCTCTTCATTTTTGTTCAGGCCCCTTTATTGGAACCCTTATGGCAACCCTTATTGAAGGACCCCGTCAAGAGGAACCCTTGAAGCACCCCTATACCCTATTTTGAAATGATCAGGACCCCTAAACCCTAAACCCTAAAACCCCTAGAACCCCTAAACCCCTAAACCCCTAAACCCCTAAACCCTAAACCCTAAACCCTAAAACCTTAAAGCCCTAAACCCCTAAACCCTAAACCTTAAAACCCTAAATCCTAAACCTTAAAGCCCTGAACCCCTAAACCCTAAACCCAGGCACACATATCGCTGGAATCATGGTGGGCAAGAACCCGGCAGCCTCTT